CCCCCGCCTCACAGACAGCTTACTGCCCGGGGCTAGCCCCCACTGTCCGTCCATGCCAACCACCTTCTCCTACAACCAGGAAATATGGGGGCTCAGGAGAAGGCTAGGTGGGGACAAGCAGGCACTGACTTTCCTGAGCCACCTGTGAGCCAGGGCAGCAGCCCTGACTTGGGGTCTTCTGGGGACCCTTAGGAGAACCTGCCAGGCTGGAATTACACCTTCTGGCAATGGTTCGATGGGGTCATGGAGGTACTGAAGAAGCATCACAAGCTCCATTGGAATGATGGGTGAGGACTGGGGGTCATGGAAGCTGGGAGACTGGTCTTGGGCTCAGGGACAGTGGCAGCTGGCCCAGCAGTGACACTCAATGCTCCTGCACTAGGGCCATCCTCGGTTTTGTGAATAAGCAGCAGGCCCATGACCTGCTCATCAACAAGCCAGATGGGACCTTCTTGTTGCGCTTTAGCGACTCGGAAATTGGGGGCATCACCATTGCCTGGAAGTTTGACTCCCGTGAGTGCCCATTTTCCCCAACTGCAGCTTCAGGGTTCCTCCTATCCCCTTACTCCTCACCCTCCATCAAGCCTGTGTCCTTACATGGTACTCATCGGGGAAGCTGGGACTGAGCTCAGTGTGTGTGGGGAGGCGTATTGCTTGGATATGTATTTCCTTTCCAACATTTCCAATTGAGACAACCTAAAATCACCACCACATAGACGCCAGGGCTCCCAGGCGAATCTTCCAGCAGTGTCATATGTTCTCCCTCTCTGCCATGACCCGCCTCATCTGTATCTACTCACCTGGTCTGCTGAGCAGAGTGTTCCACCAGCACAGGCTAATAAAAGCCCAGCTTTCTCTGCAAGCCTGTCTTAAAACCCCATGACCTTGGTCCTCCTCCTGCTGGCAGTGGTTGTGGGAATGATCGTTGCTCTTTTCCCAGCGGACCGCAGCCTGTGGAACCTTAAACCATTCACCACGAGGGATTTCTCCATCAGGTCCCTGGCTGACCGGCTGGGTGACCTGAGCTATCTCATCTACGTGTTTCCTGACCGCCCCAAGGATGAGGTCTTCTCCAAGTACTACACTCCTGTGCTTGGTAAGTCCTGCCCCTGCGTCCTGCTGCCTGGCCCCACTGAGGTCTTCCCCCAGCCCACAGACAGAGCCTTTGACCTGGGCAAGGGGGCTCCCAAGAAGAGCCCAGGGGGCTTTCTGTGGGTTTTGGCCCATAGGATGGAGGAGAGGGAAAGTGAGACCCATCCCCATGCTCGCAGAGCTGTGTGGATTCTCACTTCTGCACCCTTGCAGGAAGGGGCCAGGGCCGGGACAAATCATGCCCACAGTCAGGGCTCTGCTCCCACCTGAGCCAGCTGCTATCTCCATTCCCTCCCCCACCCCCCCCCCAGTTGAGTGTGGGATGAAAAGAGGAGAGATTTTTTCCTCTTTGGTCTGTCGCAGATCCATTGGTTGGGTTTGATTCTTGTTTGGCAGGGGTGGGATCAGAGAGAGAGAAAGCAAGTGGCCAGAAAAGGAACTAGAAGCAGGAGTGGGATTGAAGCCAGGGTTCTTGGGGACCCTCAGACTGGACCCATCAGCAGATGTTTTCTTAGGAAATCTCATCCCTGCTGAGGCCCCAGGGTGGTGTGGGCAGGAGGCAGATTGCAGGGGAATGAGCTTTCACCCCATTGGGGAGTTCCAGAGACTTTGGTTCTCACCACCGTCCTCTGCTTGATAGCTAAAACACCTGACGGATACGTGAAGCCACAGATCAAGCAAGTGGTCCCTGAGTAAGTGTCCAAGGTCCGGCTCTGGCTGTCCTCCTGTCTCTTCCTGCCCCAGATACTGCTGTCCCTCCCTTTCCTTGACCCTACATTTCCATTCCCCATCCCCCAGAAAATTTGACTCAGCCCGGGGAGGGACCTGGGCTTGGTCATGCTGTGGACAGTACCCAGGGCCCACTTCTGCATCCGAAACCCAGGGCCAAGTGGGGCACTCTGTCCTCCTACGCCCCAAGAAGGACATAAAGATGCCCCTGAGCCCCTCCCCAAGTCAGCTGAAGCCCGGCCTCCCTGGCAGCTCAGATTCTGTGCCGCTTCCTCCTGCAGGTTTGTGAACGCATCAGCGGATGCCGGGGCCAGTGCCACATACATGGACCAGGCACCCTCCCCAGCCGTGTGTCCCCAGGCTCACTATAACATGTACCCACCAAAGTAAGTGGTATTCTCATGGGGGTCCACAGGGGAGGAGTTGGGGACTTTGCCCCAGCCTGGAGCCCTGGAGGGCTGGTGGGCAAAGTTCCCCCCGAGGCCACTCAGACTAGGCCCACAGTCTGGCTGGGCAGGTGCTGGGAGTGGGAAATCAGCCAGGAAGACACATAGACATTTTGCAAAGTCTACTTCTCACTATGGTACTGACAAGCTAGCTGTGTGACCTTGGGAAAATCGCTGGGTCTCTCTGCTGTTGTTTCCTCATCTGTAAAATGGAGGCAAGCACACCTACCTCATGAGACTGGGGTGAGGATTAAAAGAGACAGTGCAGGTAAAATGGTCACACAGGGAGACTGTATAAGGGCTTGATACAGGGCAGCTATTAATGTGGAAGTTCTCCATGAAAGTCAGATGAGAGTGGGGTAGAAAATAAATTTTGTTCCTTACTGGGTGTGCCCTGGGCTAGATGTATGGATGGGGAGCAAACTATAGTGAGACCACCAAGATTTGGGAGTTATAAAGACCCAGACTCCAATCCTGACTCTACCACCTATAGCCAGGTGGCTCAGAGCAAGTTTCCTAACTTGGCTAAGTCTCAGTTTCTTCCCTTATAAGGTGAGATGAATGTCTACATTGCAGGTGGCTGTGAAAATCAGAGTGGTGACAGGCTAAGCATGTTGTGCTGTCATGCCTCCAGTTTAAGTGAATAGCAAAGCAGGTGGGCAGAGCTCACTGGCTCAGCCACCTGGCTTTACAGATGAGGACAAGGAGAGAGGGGAAATGATTTCCTAAGATCATTCCATGAGGTGTGAATAGGGTGGGGCGTATTCCCAGGGGTGTCTGACCAGGACTAGTCCTGTGCCCAAGAGACTGGCTTGAGTGGGGAGCTGGCAAGGCTGTCTGCTGGGAGTTGAGGCTGTGAGATGTGCCAGCAATCTCTGACATCCCTTTCTCTCTCTACCAGTCCTGACCCTGTCCTTGAGCAGGATGGAGAATTTGACTTGGATGAGAGCATGGATGTAGCCCGGCACGTGGAAGAGCTCTTACGCCGACCCATGGACAGTCTTGGCCCTCGCCTCTCCCCTCCTGCTGGTCTCTTCACTCCTGCCAGAGGCTCCCTCTCATGAATGTTCAAATCCCACACTTCTCCTGGGAAACAACATTCAATGAGAAGAGTTCATATTAATTGTGATTTTAGTATTGCTGTGCATACTGGGGCCTTTGCAAGCAGCACATGGACACGTGTGTGGATGTGTGTACGCATGAGGTGTACCTTGCCTGGGCAGTCCTGGGTATGTGGTGGCACAGAAGTGGCCCAAGATCAAGGCATCTGGGAGCCCACTGGGTCTGTCTCCATTGTGGAAAAGACAGAGCCTCTGTCACTGCGGGTGCTTGGTGCAGGCAAGCCTATTCCTATCTGCTCGGTAGCTATTTGAATGAAATTATCCAAGAAGGGAAAGGGAACCAAGTCTTTAAGCTGAAGTCTCCCTCCTGAGAAGCTTCACCCTCCCAAATGTGTATGTCTTTGTACGTGAAGCTGTCCTCATGTACACAAGTTGGTCTAATTGATTCTTTCCCTTGGGGGGAGGTGGGGGGCTTGTTTGTGAATAATATTTTATACTTTAGTAAATGTGGACTCCAGACTTTTTGTGAACCCAGTCCTAGAGTTTGTCTGGGCCGTGGCTATGTCCTTGACAGTGGAGCTAGGGTGAATCGAAGCAGGGCTGTTGGGGCTGCTCTGAGTCTGTACCACCTCTGTTCCACAGGTATCTCCTCCCCTCCAATAGGCCTGACCTTTCTTTGCAAGCTTGCTTTCTGGGGAGGAGGAAAAGACTGGTCTAGAATATGGTAGGTGAACAGGGGTCCTGGGACTTGCAAAGTTGTCCTCCTTCCCTCCCTTCCTCCTCCCTGTGGAAAACTGCAGCCAGAGGAAAGCACAGCAAAGCAGCCACTGGAGGGGTAAAAGCTGATCCCACTGGACTCCCCTGGGAGGTGGGACCTGGCTGAGGCCTCCTCTCTTGTATAACCAGCTGTCGCTGGAGGAGACCTGGCTCCCACACCCTCTCTCTCAGGCTGTAGGACCCACAGCCAGGGGCAGCTGCCCTTGAAAGATTCGGATCCCAGGCTTAAGCATCTCTGAAGAGAAGTGGGGAGGAAAAGAGGGAGTCTTGTAGTTTGTACAAAGACTACACATTTGTGTAAAGTATTTTTGAATAAAATGTTTTTTTCATAAATTTGCAGCTGTGGCTCCTGGTTTGGAGCTGGAGTTGTTCTGTTCCTTCCCTCTTGTGTGACTGATGGTGTTAATTTTTAGCCCGAAGTTACAACTCTGCACCCTTTTCTGTGATTTTCAAGCGTGTTAACCAGCCCTGGAATACTGTCTGTGCTTCTTAGAAGGCTAAGGAACAAGGTTAGGGGCTACCTACTCCCCTAAAAGCAGGGAACTTGAGTTTTGGGGACAACATGGGGCAGGAGCCTCTGGGGAGGGAGCCCCAGGGCTGGGCAGAGCTGTGGTCTCAGCCTCTTCTACCTGTAAATGACCCTGAAGCTGGGGGCTGAGGGCCAGTGCCAAGAGCATTCTCCACCCTATAGGGTTCCGAAGCTGCCAGAACTGCAGCAGCAGTCCCATCCTCCCAGGCCTCTTCCAGGGACCAGCAGGTGGCACCATCCAGCAGCTGCTGTGTTTTCAAAAGGCTGGGCTGACCATGAGGGAGGCCGGAAGACACCTGGTGCCAAACTGCAGCTAGTCCCTGGTGTCCCCAGAGAACTCAGGGTGGGGGGCTGGGGAGCCAGGACCTGTGGGCAGGTTTCTTCAGCGCCAGAGGAGGGCAGGGGCCCCCTGCAGGGCTGGCGGGGGTGGTGGGGAGGGAAGCGGGCGCTGGCAGCACTAATCTCCACTTCCATCTCTGTGAGGGAAGGAGCTTACATCTCAGGCAGCACCGGTCTGTCTCCATGGCACTGGCTAGGGGACAAGGTGGGGAGAAGCCCAGCTGATGTAGCTGAGGTCACTGCTGTGCTCATTTTGCCACCCACTGCCCAGGGGCCCACGGTGACTAGCCAGTGAACCGTCTTTATGCTGTCCTGTCCCCACCATGAACTGAAGTGATAACAGCACCAACTGTGGAAGGGGAGGCCCTGGGGCCTTGGGGCTGGGGTGGGAGTATCTTAGGTAGCTTATCTGACCTGACAGGGCACTGAAGCTCTGGGAGGTGGGGGAGGGAAGCCTCTGCTCTGACAACTTCTGCCCTGGACTATTGACCCCCTCCTTCACCAGGTCCCCTGCTGGTGGTTCACATAACATAGGGGCCTGTGTCAGTTTAGGAATGAGCCGGGGAAGGCAGTAGAGTCTTCTCAAAATGGTATCTGTGCCTATCCCAGGACACAAGTGTGTGAGGCCCCCTCAGAACTTGCAGGGGAAAAGGGAGCCACACAGAGCTGCCATGCTATCAGATGATTCCTATATAACTTTTATTTTTGGAAGTTAAAGTAGATACAGCAATATACAAAAAAAAAACACAATAATATAAATTTTTACACTATGAAGTATACACTGGAATTTGAATGCAGTGGCAGGGGAAGGGGGAGAGAGCCGGCAGGTCCTGAGGACTCTGTCCTCTAACTGAGGGACCTGACTGAGCAAGTCTCAGCTCCTCTCAGAACTTTTGTTACAATCAGAATTAAAACCAGATAAACACGCCATAGCCATGAACTTTACAGAGTCTGCTCCAGAGAAGCTCAAACTTTGCCCTAGATTCCTATGACTTAAACCCAGGGGTAAGCCCAAGTCTCACCTTTCTAGATATTCTCTTGGTTAATGAGTTAAGCTTATCATGTACTGAAGAGTGTTGCTGGAGAAGGGAGTGTCACACATCAACCCTTTCCAGGCAGGAGGACAGGAATGGCCATGGGTGAGCCCTGTTCATCTTAGAGAGAAGGTCCTTTCCTCCTTAATTCAGAAACTAGCTAATTTGGATCTAATAAATAGAATTCCGTAGAAACTCTGCTCAACTGAGGCAAAATGGTTTTGTGACACCAAATCCAGCCATGCCTCTGGGTCAGAGGAGGTCCACCTAGCACATACCTAGTCTTCCAAAATGCACAGTAAAGGCTGAGGCACAGGCCATATGGAAGGCTGTAGCTTGTTCTGTGTCACTCATGGGACCCCTGTAGGGAAGAGACAGTCACCAGCCTCAGAAAAGGGGCAGACCTCGCGTTTATAGGTGAGCCTTTACCCTGCATTTGCCAAGGGAAGAAGTGACTATGGGTACTGCTGGAAATCACCAACAAACTGGGGTAAGAACCATATTCCCTGAGGTCAGCTAGACACTTCACTGAGGCCCCATAGTCTGAGTCATGTTCAGCCTATAACTCTCTCCCTCTTCTTCTATGAGGCCCTGAGACCTGGATTCCCAAAGCAAATAGGACAATGGACCTTTAGACACTGGAAGGATAAATGCCACTAGCGGGGTCAGGGAGACTGAGGGGGAAGGAAGCAGAATCATCCCGGCCCTGGTAAGGCACCCACAGGAGCAACCTAGGCTCTGAAACAGGAGCTAAAGTCCACGGGAAAGGGGAGTAAGGTTGTAAGCACCCTCTGCTCAGCCTTACCCCTGCCCAAAGGCTAACACATTATGGGGAAAATAAAAATCTGTTTATAAAAAATGGCTAAAAGATGGTTAGGTTCTCCCTAAACCTTCCTATTTCAATACAAAGCCCAGGCCACAGCTTCAGATGTCTTTTAAGGGTTTAATCTGAAGGCCATTATCAAGAATTGCATAAATTATCAGCCTGAAGAAAGCTGAATGCTTAAAGCACCAAGAAGGCTGTTAACTGGGTTTTCTTAAATATAGAAAGGCTATGCACTGGGTGTTTTTTGCCCTTTAATTTTTAATTTAAAAAGAAACCTAGGGCTCAGACAGTCCTACCTTCTATTTGGATGTTAGCAAGGTTAAAAGTGCAATGCCAGGAGTATGTAGCTACAGGCAGCCTGTGGCATGAGCTTATAGAAACAGGCAGAAGGATGCCACTGGCACCAGGAGGCACTTGGCTAACAACAACAACAACAACAACAACAACAACAAAAAGCTGCTGAGAAAGGAGGGCAAGGGAACAAAAAACACAAGACATTTCCTTTTTCTCCTTCAGCCACCCTCTTCCACATCCCCTGATCAAGGTCTCAGAGAACACATTCTTATTTGCATTTAGATAAAAGCATATCACCCACATTCACTCATTTCTCTATTTTTAAAAGTGCCCAGATTGCTCAAAGATAGCAGAAGTAAAAGATTAAAAAAAAAAAAATCTGGAACCACAGAGTGCGGAGTTTCAGAAGATCTGGGGTTTGTCTGTGTAAGGGGTGGGAGAGCACAGGTAGGCGCCTCTGCCATATCTCTCTGCAGCTTCCGTTCTCAGCTCCTCACATGGGGGAGGTAGCGCACTCCGAGGTCAACTCCATGTCAAATGTGAGGGACTCTGGAGGGACAGACGGGGAAAGATAGTTCAGTTGAATGTCCTCTACAGCTGGCAGAGCACACTCCAGCCCTTCAGTGGCCAGGGCTCAGGCCACCACTGCCGTATAGTCTCCTGCCCCTTCAGGGCAAGGCTGGGTCAGCAAAGTCAGATTTACTCTCCTCCCTACTGGGCCTTGGCCTTGGGAAGAGGCCTCCTTCCTCCTTAACTCATTCCCAGGTCTCCATGTTCAAAGATCTGAGGCTGCTCTGTTTAACACAGTGGCCTCAAATCATATGTAGCCACTGAACACTTGAAATGTGGTTCATCCAAGCTGAGATATATATACTGTGGCGGTCAAAAGCCCAGCAGACTTTAAAGACTTAAGTGTGAAAATTAAAAAAAAAAAATCTTGATTTTGTCTTCCATGTTGAAATGAGAGTACATATGTTGGGTTTAACGGGCTAAATATACAGGGCATCCCAAAGTGACCCCTAAAGTCTTTCTTTTTACAAAATATTCTCTATATGTTGGCTACCTCTTTGTAAAATTGTATAATGATTATTTTGCAAATAAAGGTACATTTAGCTACAATTTCCTCTTTTTTTCTATGTATGGTGACTTTAGGGGCAACTTTTGGGACACCAGGTATTATAAAAATTAACCCATTCTCATGTGGCAACTAGAATATTTACACCTGCACACGTGGTACGAGTTCCATTTCTGCTGGAGAGCACTGCTCTGGAACCTTCTTCTACTGTTCTGAGTGACCAGTTCTTGGCTCTGCACATGTGAGCACCATCCAAAGGGGACTGACTTGTCTGCCAACCAAATACTCACCAAACTGCCCTCCTGCTGACGGTTCAGCACCTTCACCATTATTTCCAAACTGCATCAATGAATCTAAAGTGCGGGGGGACATCGGCAGGTCAATGGTATTGCTGCAGGTCGTTCTGTAGGAAATGGGGAGCAGCAGGAAGGGGAAGGGCCGGGTTGACAAGACACAATGGAGGAAAAAAAAAGAACAAAACATACACACACAAGCCATCAAACTCTGGTCTCCAACGGAAAAATAAAAGCTCAAGCTTTTTAAACACACAAGGCCACTTTGAGTACTAAACATAGCCCAGGGGCTTCCAACCCTGCACAGGTAACTGTCACCCCGTGTCCTATTCCCAGGGATAACTGAGGACATTAGAAATGAAGGCAAAGTTGGGAAGGGAGGTCACTTACGGGGTCACACAGATAAACTTGGTCTTCAGGTATGGGGCAGCACCTGGGAAAAAGAAAACTGTGCTTACTGACGGTGGTAGCCCTCTGAGCACAGGGCAGGAGGAAGCTGTCTGCCTCACTAGCGCTGACTTGAGACTCACTCCATCCTTACATGGAGATTATTTGCAAACCTCCATTCGCCCCACAAGATTGACCGTCCTCACCATACACTAGTTGGGATGTCCTAGGCACTTGCAGCTTTGAAGTTCAATTCTTCCCAAGAAGATCTCCTGAGCTGCAGATGCTTTTCGGCATACCCTTGTTCCACCTCAGCCTAAATTATCGTCACTCATGTATTCATTCTTTCCCTCAATTATGGAAACATTTAACTGCTTCCAGGTGGTCTGGAGATTCTATTCCAGCCTGGTTGTATCGCTTACATAACCTATGCATTCAGGAACCGAGCCTATGGAGTCTGCGTGGTGTCCTGCACAGATACCAACATCACCAAGTCTTTTGGAGAAGGTGGAGGGTGCTAATGCTTGTGCTTCGAAAGCTGAAGGTTATACAGGTACCTTCTATTTCTGCCAGCACTAATCAGCCTCGATCATATTTTTTTCAATTTTAATTTTAATTTTTTGTTTTTTAGTTTAGTTTTCTTTTTTTTTTTTTTAGAGACAGAGCCTCACTTTATTGCCCTTGGTAGAGTGCCGTGGCGTCACAGCTCACAGCAACCTCCAACTCCTGGGCTTAGGCAATTCTCCCGCCTCAGCCTCCTGAGTAGCTGGGACCACAGGCGTCTGCCACAATGCCCGGCTATTTTTTTGTTGCAGTTTGGCTGAGGCGGGGTTTGAACCTACCACCCTCGGGATATGGGGCTGGTGCCCTACTCACTGAGCCACAGGTGCTGCCCTCAATTGTAATTTTTTATTTTTTTCTGAGACTGGGTCTCACTCAGTCACCCTGGCTAGAGTGCAGGGTGTCATCATAGCTCACTGCAACCTCAAACTCCTGGGCTCAAGTGATACTCCTGACTCAGCCTCCCAAATAGCTGGGATGACAGGCAGGCATGACGATGCCCAGCTAATTTTTTTTATTTTTAGTAGACAAGGGGTCTTGCTCTTGTTCAGACTGGTCTTAAACTCCCAAGCTCAAATGATTCTCTGCCTCAGCCTCCCAGAGTGTCAGGATGACGGGCATGAGCCACCACACCTGGCTTCAATCACATTTTTAGATGGGGGCATTAGTAGCTTCCTAGTTGGATAAATACGTCAAATATAAAGCACCCTCTACACACCGGGAAGATTATTTTGTGGCGTAGTCCAATCCACTCAACCAGGAGACAGGAGACCAGCACACTTCACCAACTAAGAGACCTGGAGCAAGGAGCTTTTTCTCTCATGCATAAAATAAGGAGGGGGAAGGAGAAGGTGCCAATTGTCTATAATCCCCATTTTTATAATTCTTGTTCTATAGTTAGAAATGTGAGGACTAGGCTCAGCGCCTGTAGCTTAGTGGCTAGGGCACCAGCCACATACACCAGAGTTGGCAGGTTTGAATCCAGCCCAGGCCTGCCAAACAACGACAACTACAACCAAAAAATAGCCGGGTATTGTGACAGGCACTTGTAGTCCCAGCTACTTGGGGGACTGAGACAAGAGAATGGCTGGAGGATTGAGAGGCAAGAGCTGGAGGTTGCTGTCAGCTGTGCTGCCACAGCACTTGAATGAGGACGACACAGTGAGACTCTGTCTCAAAAAAAAAAAAGAAAAGAAATGTGAGGACTAGCATAAAGTTAGATCCTGCATGCCTGTACCAAGAGGTCAAGGAGCCTTGGGGACACCAACATGACATCTGGGAATTCAGGTGAGCAAACCAGTTAGGAGGCATGAGGCAGGGTGAGATGGGCCAAGAGAAGCAGTCCTCAAGTGTGGGGGTTTGAAACTACAGGGCCTGAAAGCACAAAGACCTGAGAGGATGCTCTGTGAAGCGACTCTTGGACTGCTGTCCTGAGGTTATTTCTGGCCAGGAAAGAGATTGATTCAGTGCAAAATCCAAAGGACCTACTGAGGCAAGCAAGGTTCTAGTGTTCTGTAAATACAATTATCTTGGCCCAGACTTGAAGGGACCTGATACCCTAGACAGAAAAGGGTTTAATTCTCTAGTGATAGAGATAGATGAGAAAAACAGCCTGAGAGGGAACAGTAGAGACAGAGGACTAACAGCTGATTTATGGGTGGCTTCTTTTTGTTTTTTGAGACAGAGTCTCAAGCTGTCGCCCTGGGTAGAGTGCTGTGGCATCACAGCTCACAGCAACCTCAAACTCTTGGGCTTAAGTGATTCTCTTGCCTCAGCCTCCCAAGTAGCTAGGACTACAGGTGCCTGCCACAATGCCTGGCTACACATGTGGCTTCTTATAAGGTTGTAAATGTACTTCAATTTGTAAGTGGCAGGCCAGGTGCAGTGACTCACACTTGTAATCCTAGCACTCTGGGAGGCAGAGAAGGGGCCTGAGCTCAAGAGTTTAAGACCATCCTGAATAAGAGCGAGACCCTGTCTCTACAAAAAAATAGAAAAATTAGCCAGGTGTTGTGGCAGGAGCCTATAGTCCCAGCTACTCAGGAGGCTGAGGTGAGAGAATCATGTGAGCGCAAGACAGTTTGAAGTTGCTGTGAGCTATAGTGCCATGGTACTCTACCCAGGGCAACAGAGTGAGACTGTCTCCAAACAACAAGGCCAGGCGAGGTGCCTCACACCTATAATCCTAGCACTCTTGAAGCCCGAGGCAGGCAGACTGCTTGAGCTCAGAAGTTCAAGATCAGACTAAGCCAAAGTGAGAACCCACCTCTACCCAAAACTAGAAAAACTAGCCATGTGTTGTGGTGGGTACTGTAGTCCCAGCCACCCAGAAGGCTGAGGCAAGAGGATTGAGCCTGAGAGTTTGAGGTTGCTGTGAGCTAGGATCCCACAGCACTCTACCCAGGGTGACAGAGTGAGACTTTGTCTCAAAAATAAATAAATAAATAAAATAATGTGTAAGTGGCTCAGAATCTCTCCCTCAAGCCATAAGGAAATACTATGTGGGCTTTTAATGGAGAAGTATGGAGGAGAGGTGATCTATTTCTGAGATGCTCAGACCATAATACTCTTTTGAGTTGGAAATAACAGAGGAAAGAGTGGCAGTCTCCTGTCTCTGAAGATTGATTCCCATGTTAGCACAGGGACCCCACCTGTACCCGTGGCCAGGCTCACACTAAGCCCTCAGCGGCTGCTCCCTACACTCATCTCTCCAGGAGGCAGGCAAACCACTCAAGCAATTAGTTTCTTTCTAGTGATTAGCGCCTTGCCCCTGGGGAAGCACTGATGTTTCCAGGCAGGAAAAGACCTTGCCTGTAGCCCACGGAAGGGGCAGTGTTAAGGGAAGGTGCAGCCTTAGACTGGGAGGTGGGATCCTGAAAGCAAAATCAGTCTAAACGACCAGCACTTGGACCTAAACGTCCTCTGCAGAAGGAACAAAGAGTAGTGTGGCAGGGGCTGATAAAGAGATGTCCCAACTGAAGCACACGTGGAAGGAGAGATAAGCAGCAGACAGGAAGTGAGGGTTATGCTCTCCTAGAGTATGAACAAAACTCAGTGCTAGAACAAAGGAGAAAGGAGAGTCAATGTCAATTAGCTCAAATTTCCTCTTCTAAGTCTCATTCTCCCCCACTCCAAGAAATTCTTTGAAAGGCATACTGAGGAAAAACTAGTTGGTGAGTTTGTGTATGTGCGTACTTTTTGGACAAAAACCATTTTTTAAAAAAGAACTGGGGCAGAGAAGCCAACCCCAATGGATCACGTTAAAGAGCCCATCGTTGGCTCTATGATTTAGAAAAGTTAAATAAAACAAAGAACTGCAGCCTGGTGCGGTGGCTCACGCCTATAATCCTAGCACTCTGGGAAGCTGAGGTGGGAGGATTGCTTGAGCTCAGGAGTTTGAGACCAGCCTACACAAGAACGAGACCCCATCTCTGCCAAAAACAGAAAAAATTAACTGGGAGTGATAACTCATGCCCGGAGTCCTAGCTACCAGGGAGGCTGAGGCAGGAAGATTGCTTGAGCTCAGGAGTGTGAGGTTGCTGTGAGCTATGATAACACCATTGAGCTCTAGCTTGTGCAACAAAAGCTAGATTCTGTCTCAAAGAAACCCAAAATAATAATAAAATAAAACACAAAGAACGTTAAATCAGAGACTCATCACCAGGATCTGGATAAAGAATCAAGAGTCAAAGCAGCAGGTGGGAACACATCAGTGGGCTGTCCCCTCCACACTAAGGAAAGCCCAGAGATTATAGGTTTAAACAGGAAAGCCCAGAGATTATAGGTTTAACATAAAATAATTTACATATAACATATAAATACATATCCTCTCACACATTCAAAAATATCTGGCAGGCTTGGTGGCTCATACCTATAATCCCAGAATACTGGGAGACCACAGCAGGATGATTGCTTGAGGCTGGGCATTTGAGACCAGCCTGGACAACATAGTGAAATTCCAACTTCACAAAAAATTAAAAACTTAGCTGGACATGGTGGTGTGTGCTAACTATCCCAGCTACTCCAGAGGCTGAGGCAGGAGGATCCCTTGAACTTGGAAGTTCAAGGCAGCTGCAAGCTATGATTGTGCCACTGCACTCTAGCCTAGATGACTGAGACTTTGTCTCAAAAATAATTTTTTTTTAAATTTTCAATAGCTGTACGTTCTAAGTAACAACTCCATACCCTGTAGCCAGGCCCTGTCTTTCGCTTCGAACACAATGCTTGCCCAGTCTGGTGTGAATTGTGCTCCAACGCTACTAACAACTGTTTCCTCCAGAAAGCCTTTCTTCGGCTCACTTAACATAAGCATTGTGTGAGGTGGGCATCCTGTTAAAGAACCCTGTCCTTACTTTCTCTTCTCAGTGTCCTAGCATGTTTGGGGGTGGGGGTGGATGTACTACTTCCCCCTTTAAACTCGTGCATTGCCTGTGGGTTGAGGACTACTGACTGATTCTCTCAAATCCCATCAGTCTGCCCAAAAGCACTCACTACAAAGTTCCTTCCCATTAGGAGGAATAAGGATTTCACAGGTTATTCAGTTGATCCTTCAAGGATCCTGAAATTTCTATCTTTTCCCAAAAATTAAATGCCAGAAACACGGAAAATCAACAACTACCTGGGTCGGCTTCCGGATGCTCCTGGCTCTCGGGCCGACAATACTTCCCGAATGCTTCTTCCTTAGGGATGTCAGGGTAGAGATAGACCAGTGGAGACACGAGGATGTTGGTGGCATCCATGATCTTATAGCCCATGATGATTTCAGCAAATGACATGTTGTTAAGCTGCTGCTTGGTATATGGTTCCACTGACTGGATCTGGGTCTTACCTGTTGCAGAATCCAGGAAGGAAGGACAGCTGGGTAATCTCAGAGAAAACGACCTTTATCTTTCCTCAACAGGGAAAGACTTATACCAGTCTGGCACTTGAGACCCTGAACATCCTGTCCAGTGGCCTGGCACTGTTGAAATGTCCAGGTTGGTTCCTACTTTAGAAGAGGCTACCCAATTGAGTCACTTGAATAACCTCAAATAGAAATGATGACTTGCATAAGACATGTTAACAGGATTAAGAAAGAGGATGAAGAATAAAATCTAAATTGCAAATTTCTAGACAAATACCTGCCATGGGAGCAAGCAAAACAAACTGGCAAACCAATCCTTCAGCTGCAAGAATTTAGAGCAAAAAAGTCATCCTCAAGTCTGAGGCAGGCGAGCCAGAGGCCATCTCTGCCCACTAGGGGGCAGTAAGTGGTTACAACTAGTAGCAGCCCTGACACTGCAGCACCAGCCACCAGGTGGGGTTGAGGAGCTAAGCTTACCGCTGATGTCCTTCTCCACCCAAGTGAAGGTGACTCCTCCTTCTTTGCTGCTTTCACTGAATCTTAGCAAGAAGGTTCCTGGGGGCTTGGTGCTCAAGATGGCCCGTTCCCGCTCTTTACTGATGAAGCCCATTATGTACCTGGAACCAAGGAGGAGGAACAACACTGTTTGGGCAAATAGGGTATCCCCTGCTGCTGGCTTGCTGGTGACTTGGTTACACCTCTGCACTGTCTGCCAGACAAAGGAGTTTCAACCTACCCTTCATTCCAAAGGGCCAGAATGTACTTTTTCACAAGGTCAATGATATTGTCCAGCCAGACCCAGAAGGAGAAGCCCTTGCCAGCCATGTTTTCCTAGATAAAAGAATAATGAGAAAGTCAAGGCTACCACCAGCATAGCCCATCCCTTCCTGAGGACACAGTGCATAGCCAAAATCCTCAGTCCCATCTACCTTCCCGCCGGTCCTACTGACCACTGAACCAAGAGTTCAGAGACTTCAGCCCACAGCCCTCCAGGACCACTCTCACTCCCAAGAGGTGACCACCGGATTCAACAAGATTTCTTACTTTGCAAAATTTAGCCCACGTGATCTGACACCCTGAATAGTTCACACCAGGTCCTGAAGGAAAAGAAAAAAATAAAGTAGTGAATCTTCAGCTTTGAATCAAGATGTTATTTCCTAAAATCGGACACACACACAATAGGCCATGAAACCACTGGCTCTCATGTATTTGTGTTGTGTGCACTCTGCACAAACAGACCCTATACTAGGGTGACCAGATTTTAACATTTGTAAAGCAGGACAACACGGGCGGGGCGGGGGGGTGCAGAGGACAGAGCAGGACAAGGCCTGACAACAATGCAAACTTTGATAAGCAGTTCTTGATAATCACTTCTCAACAATTATTTGTTATTATTACAGTTTAACATTATAAAATTAACAAAAATAATATAAAACTCATATTCTGGCAAAATAGCCACATGGCAGCTGAAAACCGTATATTCCCTTCCTTTTCTCCCGCCCATTTGTGCATTCTTTCCAAAAATCAGGACTTTTTAAAAATGCCACGGGACGCAGCACAAATTGTTCAAAAGCGGGACGTCTGGTCACCCTACCCTATACCCTAATCCTGTCACATGCCTGCTGGCGCTGCGCAGGTCCCTCTGCTCCTCACTGACAGCCAGTATTAAAAGGCCGTATTTTGTGACAGCTGCTTTATTAGGACAAAGGTAATTATAGTCCAGGTGGAACATAAAATAGTCTACTAAATTTTTTTACTCCAGAGTGAAAAATTAAAACTAGGGCCAGGCGCAATGGCTTATGCCTATAATCCTAAAAGTCTGGGAGGCCAAGGCAGGTGGATCGCTTGAGGGCAAGAGTTCGAGACCAGCCTGAGCCAGAGCAAGGCTCCGTCTCTATTAAAAATAGAAAAAATGAAATCTAGTCATGCCTTGTGGTGGGTGCCTGTAGTCCTAGCTACTTGGAGGGCTGAGGCAAGAGGATCACCTGAGTCCAAGAGTTGGAGGTTGTGGTGAGCTATGATGATGCCAAGGTACTCTACCCAGGGTGACAGAGTGAGACTCTGTCTCAAAATAAATAAAATAAAATAAAATAAAATAAATAAAAAGCTATCCTACAGATTTTTAAAGAAATGGACAGGGAATGTCATGCCTTTAGCTCCAACTTCTTAAAAGATTTTCTGAGGTTAGACAGAAGGGTATCTAGCTAGAGTAATAGCCTAAAAGGGTGAGGAAGGCAAAGGCCAGGTGAAAAGAAATCTGCCTCCCACCCTATATAAACGACCACCAGGATGCAAACTGTGCCCTGAGTCTCCAATGTGGCACCTTGCCCAGGGTGGATGCTCAGTAAACTTGGCCTGGATTAACAGCCCGACAGGCCAGATCCCTTTTCTGAGGAGGGCAGGAGAGAGAAGGGGATAAAAGGCAGACCCAGGAGTTTCTCTGCCAGCGTAGTCAACTGCTCGATGCTCAGCCCACGCTTCGTTGTGGAGGAGAACTGCCAGCTCAGCACCTCGGCCACTTGATCCCACGTTCCAATTGGGGGCTTGGTGAAAAAGTTCACGTTCTGTGGAAAATAACGCATGTGCTCATTCAGATGGGAGATAGTGCTGATGACCTGTACTAGGTACCAAGAAGCCACAAGAGGATGGGGCACTAACCTTGGGGTTGTTGGTCAGCATGTTATACCACAGGATCGATGCCCAGGCATTTGGCATCTGACAGATGTTGGAGATCACCACAACTGGCAAAGAGTGGGTCTGTGGAGTCAGTGGAGAATGAGTCAGGGAGGCAGAGGGGCTCTCTCAGGCTCAAAAGTCTGTTTACCCATGACTCTCAGGGCTTGGAATAAAGGACAAGCCACCATGCACACCTGCTACCAACTCTAGGCAAACAGTGTGACAGAGTCAGCTCAACCTCCAGAGTGGAGAGAAGGCTGGACCAGCCACAGAGCTCACAGCTAGTTACTTACCATGTTTCCCTGAAAATAAGACACTGTCTTATATTTATTTTTTCTTAAGAAGACACACTAGGGCTTATTTTCAGAGGATGTCTTCCTCTCCGCGCTGAAATGTATGGCGTGGCTATGCAGTGTATCATAGCCATCACTAGGTCTTATTATAGGGGTAGGGCTTATATTTAACAAATACAGAGAAATCCTGCTATGGCTTATTTTTTGGGTAGGTCTTATTTTCGGGGAAACACGGTATACAGTATGACTTGCTCATAGCTTGTCCCCCAGTTCACAGAGTCCCTATTCCTAAGGTTGGAAGGCATCCTCCAAAAACTGAAGCTGTATCTTTCCATGAAACAATGAAGTCCCAGAAATCAAAGACTAGGATTCCTGCCTTTCCAGGTATCTCTTGATTTGAAATTCAAGAAAGTTGGGAAAAGAGAAGGTACAAATACCATGATCTGCTGCCAAGACTCTTTTGCCCAAACTTTATAAAGTCACTCTAATCAATTTCTACATACAGATTTTCATCTCAAGTTTGCTGGAAGCTGAGTATATATGTATCTTAAGCACTCAGGCAAGACTTTATTCTCAGATGGGATACCAAAGATTTTTTTGGAGAAAAATAGCAAAATAGGCCAGATGCGGTGGGTCATGCCCGTAATCCTAGCACTCTGGGAGGCCGAGGGGAGTAGATTGCCTGAGTTCACAAATTTAAGACCAGTCTGAGTCAGAGTGAGACCCTGTCTCTAAAAATAGCTGGGTGTTATGGTGGGCACCTGTTGTGCCAGGTGCACGGGAGGTTGAAGCAAGAGAATCACTTGAGCCCAAGAGTCTGAGGTTGCTATGAGTTATGATGCCACAGCACTCTACCAAGGGTGACAACATGAGACTCAGTCTCCCCCCCCAAAAAAAGCAAAATAAACACAGTACTTAGTAAACAGTAATTCTACCTTCTTTAATAAAAATCCCACCAGAAGTTTTGTCCTGAGTCACCCTGTACACAGCGCCACACTGATTCTGCTGCAGAACTCACCTCTAGGTCAATCTTGAGGCCTTGGTGATACACCTCAGTCTCAAAGGTGATCAGGTGCAGCTCCTCGGTCACAATTAGGGAGGCCTACAAGGATGAGAAGGACACTCCTCCTCAGAGATGGCATTCGGTGCTAACAGCCACAGCTGAGGAAAACTACATGCCACAGCCTCATGACACCAAGAAGGGGAAGCCACCAGGTGGCCCCAGGGACACACCACAGAGCATGTGCTCTCTTCAACACTATGATTCTCAATCTAATTTTTAACTCAGTTTGTGGGATAATATCAGCAATGGACCCAATAGTTTACTATAAAGTGTGTAAGGCGCAAAGTAACAATGAACACCTGTGAAACCACCGCCTAGTTTATTTTATTTATTTATTTATTTACCACCACCTAGTTTATAAAGAGAAAATCATTACTGCTGGCTGATGTTTCCTGGTGGCTTTCCCTCCTCCCTCAGAAGTAGCTGCTATTGGGCAGTGCCTGTGGCTCAAAGGAGTAGGGTGCTGGCCCTGTATGCTGGAGGTGGCGGGTTCAAACCCAGCCCCAGCCAAAAACTGCAAAAAAAAA